TTATTGAGTTATTGAGTTATTTAGAGTGTTCATAATGTTGGTGGCCCACGATAGGTAGTCCTGGTCGTGTGGATTATGAAAATTCTGCTCTATCAGGGTCACACCTTTGCTCGACAGCTGCATCTAAACACTGTGTTAAATGTGATTCATCAGAGCTGGCATATCAGGACATCTCCTTCTATATGACATTCACCCCTAGCCGGCAGGTGTAATGTACCATGTGCCAGATTTTCTCTGTCAACAGTTGTCATTGGAATCTTTTTTTTGTCAGATCCCTTTTCACCATGTGTCCAAACGTAATACTGATATTTTAACATTTTTACATTTGGAGATCTGACTGGTACTTAACTTTTTGTCAGCCTGTTTGTTCCTCATTGTCACCCCCATCCCATCTCAGTTTGGACGTGCCTCCTCTCTGCGTCGTCTTTTTGTTTATACACACCCTATCGGAACATACAGAGGATGTGAGGGAAGGGGGCTCATAAGGGGGAGAAAAAGGAAATGCCATCTGGAATGGAAAATGGCCCTGTTGTGGTGTTGTCATTCAAGTGTAATGCTCTCGAAGACATTCTGCAGAACATTTTTATATAACCATTTAAATAAACACATCCCCAATCTAATTGCAGTGTACAGTTGCAGCCCCAATCTGTTTACTTTGGTTAGATACATTGTCTATGCAGAACAACAAGTCAAACATTTAAGTGGGAGTGAGAGGACATGATATTTCTGTTGTAGTATTTAGCCTAAATTAATTTAATTCTACACAATAGTACTAATAGGCCCCTTTTGTCCCTCTTCAGCTTTTGACTGCATGAGCTAACTTATTGGTCTATTAGCAACTATTATTTGTGTTCAGTGTTTCCTCTAGGACTTTTTTTAGCAGTGGGGGCAGGCCTGTCCAAACACCACCACCACCACCCCTCCCCCCCGTCACGCCACGTTTTGACTATAAGCTACATCAACACAACAGTATGTGGAGTTAAACTGCACAGCCCCAATAACCTCTGAATAGTTCTACTTGTTGTTAAATTGGAATGTGAGCGGCAGCCAACGGGGGTGCATTATGTCGGCAGGATCATTTAAAAGGCAACCGTGACTACATTGTCCGTCTGCCCCATTTCTGATACCGTGGTGGCAGAAATTTAACAGCGGCGGGCCGCCGCTCCAAAATCACCATAGAGGAAACACTGGTGTTGATTACGGGCCTCTATAAGCTGTGTCTGGTCACAGGTGATTGAAGACAGTAGTTTTATCATTTGAAATGATCCTCTGTCGTTGCACTAAGCAGACAATCCTCATTATTTCACTCCTTTACGCACTCTCACCCTTTCTGTCCACAGAGCAGTCCAGACGTGACGACCTTGAGTCTCTGGGTTATGTCCTCATGTACTTCAACCTGGGGTCCCTCCCCTGGCAGGGCCTCAAGGCCGCTACCAAGAGACAGAAGTATGAACGAATCAGTGAGAAGAAAATGTCCACACCCATTGAGGTTCTTTGCAAAGGATACCCTTGTAAGTGATATGACTTTAGTGCCTCTGTGTATTGGCAGCGGCATACCTGTACTTATGAAATGATCTGCAGCTGCAGACAACACTTAACAGTGCAACTGTTATCTAATCACTGTAGTCGAAGCTTAACACTAATTCAGTGATCTTTTATTTTGCTTGCTGTTAGGGTTGTGTGTATTCTGAGTTTCTCATTACTGTTTCACTTGTTATTCTCTTACAGCTGAGTTTTCCACGTACCTGAATTTTTGTCGTTCACTCCGTTTTGATGACAAGCCAGACTACTCTTACCTACGACAGCTCTTCAGGAATCTTTTCCACCGTCAGGGTTTCTCCTATGATTACGTCTTTGATTGGAACATGCTCAAATTTGTAAGTTTACATAAGTGTTTCTAATTGAAGTATTGATGTTTGTTTTGTTGCTTAGCAGCTTAACTAAACTTTTCATTAGAAATCTCACTTCCAAATGTATGTAAAGGCTAAATATGGCTGCTCTAATGTGTCAGGGTGCCAGTCGGACAGCCGAGGATGGGGAGAGGAGAGCGGGAGATGAGAGAGATGAGCGGATCGGAGGAGCCCCCAGGGGGTCGGCATCGCGGGGCCTCCCCCCAGGTCCCACCCCTGGAGCTGCCAACCGAGTCAGGAACGGGCCAGAGCAGGCCATCTCTAACCCAGCCTCACGGGTCCAACAGTCTGGTGAGCGTACTGCTAAATTGCTTAAGCCTCAAACTGTCTTTTAAGTGCATAATGCTATGCTAAGATGGCTTCAAATGTGGCCGGTTCTCAATTTTACACATCATTTCAGGGAACACGTCGCCCCGTGCAATTTCTCGTGCAGAGAGGGAGAGGAAGGTGAGCATGCGGCTCCACCGTGGTGCTCCTGCTAACGTATCGTCCTCTGACCTCACAGCCCGTCATGACCAATCCAGAATTTCCACGTCACAGGTAAGAAAACACTCACAGCTTCTTTAGCTGGCTATGTGCATTATTGGGGAAAACGTTCTTTTATGAGAATGTGTGTGAGTGTGTTGAAGTGGACAATGCAAGCTCTTTAAGCTTTATAGTTTAAGACTCTGGTTATCTTCTTGAGAGAAGACTGACTCCATGGTGAAAACTGTCACAGCATTATTATTATTATTTTTTTTGTATAGATGGGTCTGCAGTGTTGTCTCTAATAGGAGATGTGTGTGTGTGTGTGTGTGTGTGTGTGTGTGTGTTTGTTTTCCACCTCTGAGTCTTGATTTTGTTTTGCAGGTCAGCGTGCCATTCGAGCACATGGGGAAGTAGAATTCTTTGGCTCTGCATGCACATGGAACTGACAGGTAATGTCTAATTTTACTAATGTATTCACACGCTAAATGCAGAAATACACCACTTGCCAATACATTGCCCTCCCTAATGGCTTTCCACTCCATTTGTCGTTGCAGGGCTGCAAAGTATATTCATCGCTCCGGATTCTTTTCCTTTTATTTTTACCTTGTCTTATGAAAAGATGATTGCCAATGGACACATGGATCCTCAGAAAAGGACTGTAAATCTTTTAAAGGATCCAGGGAAGTACATGACAGTATCCAACATGCACTGTTTCATGAACCCTTTTTGCTGAACCGTGGACCACCACCACAATACAAAAAGCAAACGAATGGCCGACCTTACTCCGTGGTTGCTCATACCTGCTCCACTCCTCAAAACATTCCCTCAATACCTTCTGTCTGACAAATGTGAAGAACTGTTGGCATCAAAGAAACAAAAAGGTTATCGGGGATATGCGCATGTTTCTCGTCAGACGTCCACTTCATGACTGATATTGGCTCGGTAAAGATTTCTCTTTTTTAGTTTCACAAAAACAACCAACCATCATGAGGAAATCTTAAATTGGAGCTTGTTATGGGTTTCCTTTCTTTGCTTTTTTTGGAAGGAATAACAGCTGGAAGATGAAGAAATGGGGAGAGTTAGGTCAGATGCTAGTGGATAAAAAGAAAGGTAACTTTTGAAAAGGATAAGTAAGTGACATTTTAGCTGTTGTAGAGTAATGTTTCTGGTGAAGTAGCAATTGGTGCTCGCTAGCCCTTCAACCATGTCGTGATGGTTTACTCTCCCTCAAAACTCAGCCACCAAAACCTCCACCACCCCATTATTTTGCCTGTTTTGACTTGCGTATTTTCTTTGGTTTTAATGTGAGGTGGGTAAGGTGAAGAATGACCATAGATTTTGCAAAGACACACTCCAAGTCTTGAGGGAAAAGCTCCTCAGGAAATTCTCACTGTATTTGACCAGAGACCATAGCTGCCCGTTTTGGCAAACAAATAGTGGCTGCAATTTTTATGATAGTTCTTAATGTTACCTTTTTTATTCTTTTTGTTATTGGAGGTCATTGGGGAGTGGGCAGGCTCTGTCAGGGATGACTCTTAGGGGGATGGGACATCCAATGAATTTTTTTTTTTTTTTTTTTAATGTTTACTTCACTGTAAATATTTTTTATTTTGATGTAAAGCCAAAATGTGGTTATTTGTTTTAAGGTGTAAAGTAGAAAAATGCATACTAATGACATCAACTGGGGCTGGGTTCAGAATTTTAGGTATTTAAAGTACTCAATTGTGGGATCGGCTACTGTTACTCTGCCAGCTGGGTCATCCAAGTGTGTGTGTGTGTGTGTGTGTGTGTGTGTGAGTGGTGTGTGTGTGTGTGTGAGAGAGAGTGATATGCTGTGTCTCCCTGCTAAAAATACAAGATTAATTTTGTCCTTGTTTGTATGCAGATTGTTTTTATCTCTGTTCTCTGCTATTTATGTTAAACTATTTTTTATTTGTCTGAAATAACTTTATTCTTGTTTCTGTTTCATTTCATCTTCCTCTAACTTATTAGAAGTAGCTTGGTTTTGCCTGTCCCTTTTGTTCTTCTGTTCTTAGGCTTCAAAGGTTGTCCACATATCATACATAGGGCTTTCTATATTCCTTCTGCAAAAATGATACGCTAATAGTTTTGATGTCACCTTCGGATTTTAACCTCCAGCAACCTTGATGATGTCATTCAAAAGAAAACAACTGATGCAATTGCAGGGATGTGTAAATAGCAGTGTACCTTGTGTGTGTAATTACCTTTGTACAGGCCACCATGACCCAGTGGTATTGTAACTGTTGGGTTGGGAATGGTATAGAAGAGTTTGAGGTGATGGGGATTTCACTTTATGTATTGTGTACTGATATCTTGTACAGTTCTTTAACACACTTTATTTACAACAGTATTTGTGTATATTTTATGAAGTAATAAAAATGAATAACGTTGCCCACAACTTTTTGCTGCCCTTACTGCCCATCTTTCCCTTTACTGCTGCAAGTACAAGTTGTTGTTTCTTTGTTTTTTAAGGTGGTGTTTGTTTGTGACTGCATTTTTTTGGACACAACAACAGCACATGCAGTGCAGTCCAGCCTGTACTAAGTTACATCATGTTCAATAGGAACAGACGAGGAGAAATGAAACGCGTGACTGCGCATGCGCCGAGAGTTGTTGCTGGCAGCTGCTGTTGGTACAGTGAACTACCGATGGTGATGTGGATGAAATAACGGTGTCCGGTTCATCAGCTTTCGTTGGGAAATGGCAAGAAAATACTAGTTGTTTTTCATAGACGTTATATTGTAAGTGAGTGTGTCGCTTTATAGAAGCGTGTTATATCTCTCTTTACATTGTTTAGACTTTAGCAACAGCAAGCTAGCGCCAGGCTAGGAAGGCTGGCTAACGTTAGCTAGCAACGGCGCACGGCGTAAACGCTCAGCTGGCGACACTTGCCTTTCCTTAAAAAAAGGGAAAAGGGCAGGATTCCGGGGTTCAAACAGTGCTGCAGTGATTAGATAACCTGGCTGACTGTCGTCTGAATGTTAGCACCGGGCCAGTTAACTTTGTATACTCCAAAAAGGTTTGCAATCGACTTGAGATGATGAGCTAAATTGATGCTTTGATTGAAACCAGCGCCGATCACACAACTGCAGAGGAGGTGAGTAGAGCCGCAGGATGGAGTCCTGAACACTAACACCTACCATTTATTCATTTCTCTCTCTTTCCTAACTCGCGAACGATTTTAAATCCCATAATTAAAATCATCATCACTGAGGTAAATATTGCCTCCGCTGTATTTCCATAAAGTATGATGTCACCCTTTTTGTGAAATGCAGCACGGCTCTGTGCGGTACTGTTCCGGAGGCTGAAACCTGCGCACTCGTCCTTTTGTGGGAGTTTTTACAGCGGTGGTCAGTGCTCCACAGCCCCGTGGTCTCCAGCTGACTGAACACCGCCTCAATGGCCCGGTGCTTTACAGGACCTCTCCTAGCCTTAGGACTTATGATGGCCTGTCACAAAGACTGCTGATTCGATTGAGGTCAAAGTACAATGCATGTTTTGAAACGTACCCACGGGAGCAGTCAGCAGGATTGATGAGTTGCCTCTCTCTCTTGTCTGTGGCCCACTGGGAAGCATCCCGCTTTGTTGCTGTAGGTGCAAGCTGGTGCTTGTATATACTGAACACAGACCTCAGCCTTAATGTTTCTCGGATATGTAGATATTTTTGATAGATTTACATGCCTCCAATCATGGTTGGTAAATAGAATACATTTTCAGACTACTACATGATGAATGGTAAGACCTTCCCCCCCATATATAGTATGTATATTGTACATCACATCTGTTTGGACACTGACAAGCTTTGTTATTATGGAAAGTTAAACTGGAACTATCTAACTATAATAAAGACTGATATATTGCCCAGCCCTTAAATACATCAGTTGTGAACTGTCAGCCTGATGAAACACAGTAAATTCATTATTCTGGTAATATCTTGACATTTAACAAAGAACCCAGTCCCTCTGCAGTGATGGTTAATTTTTCTGTCCTGAATTGATCCCCTCAGTGTTTATTTGCCTAAGTAGTTAAACATATTCTCCCAGTGTGACATGCTGATGTGTTCCTAGTTACTGCATTGCCACAAGCTGATCAAGGCTTTGGCAAGAGGCATGAGTCATCCATGACCACCATGAGTACCAGCCTATATTTAGCTGGTGCACAGGGGGGTTTGAAAGTCATTGTGAAATGAGATTTCACTATGAATGATTAGATTATCGCCTTCCTGGAATCCACACAAAGAAAGTGACGTAGTTGGAGAGAGGACGGTGCTCTGCAGGGATTTGATCATGAGGGTGGTAGAACATGGAGCATCTTTATGGATGCTTTTGGTGTAGCGAGCTCCGGTTTGGTCCTTCTTGTTTTCATTTGTCCTAATCGGTGCTGCGTGACAGACACTGCTTGTCGTCGTATTTTCACTTCCTGTAAATCACTACTGGTATTTTGAGTTCTGGATGTGTTCCCATTCTGCACAAATGCAGTGTAAGCTTACAAGTTGATGCAAACCCAATAAATACCATTCAGCTAGTTTTGGACTGTGCCTTGCTGCACAGTTGGCTTAGTTTTTTTGACGATGAATGTTGAGAAAAAGTGAGGCACAGTTATAATGCTTAAAGCCACTCAGCAATGGAAAAAAGTATATCCGACTCTGTATCTCACTTCTGTCCCAGCCACATTTCCGGTGACGTAATGGCTACCTTTTCATAAACAAAGAGAGAAAACTGTTAAGGACATCTTTATCCATTTTAGAGAGTGTGCTTCAGGAGGAGTTGTGAGTTTCGTTATGATTTTACTTCAGAATCTACCCGAGGCCACAGCGGGTCAGGTAGGAGCCGATTTGTGGAAAGTTGTTCCGTCACTCAATATGTAAAGCGCCGTTTCTAGGTACTCTACGCCTCGTCCTGCTCTCAGCAAAGCACAGAAGAAAAGAAGGGGGAAAATTGGGTCAGCACCCCTCAGCTCATCGCTGTCACACTGATTCGCTGTGTTTGAGTGATTCAGCCCCCCCCCCCATGTGTTGGCGTGTGTGGTTTTTACACTCTTTATCAGCCTCTCCTCACCCACCTACCTTATGTCTCCTCTTTTCACTCCCTCTGTTTTGATCTCGATTCGTCTGTCTATCCACACAATCTCTTTTGCGCTGTAGATCTGTGCAGTGTCCTAGTTTTCTCTGCTCTGTATCTTTTTCTGTTTCCTCATTCTAACATCAGCAGATGTTGGCCTGAGATTTAGGTCTTAGTCTGTGCACGCCGGTTGCAATGCAAAGTGTTTCATTCAGGCTTTATAACGAGAAACACAGGGTTGTTCAGCTAAGTGTTGTCAACCATAAGCTACTTATTTAAAATATATTGGCTAAATTAGTTTGTATTACCTAGAGAGCATCTTGATTTAGTCTCATCTACACCCTTTCTTCATACAGATGAGTCAGCTTTGGCAGCGAGACATAACCCTGTCAGAGAGGTTGGGTAATGACTCTCCTGTCGGCATTGCCCCTGGGCCGCCAGCCACTGTGGCCCCACAAGGATCCAACTCCTCCTGGATGCCAGAAGCACCAGTGGTCACACCAGAAGAGCCCTTTTTCCTCATGACCTCGACTGCCCAAACTATATCGGGGTTTTTTGTTTGGACAGCTCTTCTGATCACGTGTCACCAGGTAAGGAGAGCCTGGCATTTTGGAGGTTGAAGGTGATTTAGTGTCCCAGAGGGTTTGAACTAACCTAACTAACTCCTCAGTTTCTGTCTCCACAACTAGTTTATTTTCCAACAGCAGTTTTCAAATCTACCTACAATTATCCCTCTTTTTTTAGTAACCACCATGTATTGAAGGTGGGTTTGTTGAGTACAAACAGCTCCTTTTAAGCAAAAGTACAGAAAAAACAAACAGCAGGCACATTCACAGCCTGGAGCATTTTCCATGAGCCCCTGTTAATCTATGGTTCTGTGTGTGCGAGGTCACACAGCAAACATGTGTGAAAGCTTCACATCCTGTGGGGAGAAAGCTTCTTCTAGATACTGACTGATTTTCTACTTTGTGTATCCAAATTACTAGCCAAGCATGGCTGAAGCACTTACACGTGGATGTTTAATACACATTTAGGGTTATGTGAATGCAGTGAGACAAAATAAAATGTACCTATTTCTTATGAATAAGAAGAAAATAAGAAAAAGCAGGATTGACTGCTGTTCTAGGGATGTTTGCTACCAGAGTTAGTTGGACTTCTTACCTAAGATCAGCCTGAGCTATCCTCCTAAGATAGTTGCAAACACTAAGCATTAGAAACAAATTATATAAGGGCTGCCTTTTCAGACCAGCGCCTAGTGGTTTCTTTTTCGACATGAAACAAATGTCCCCGTCCAAATGGGTATCCGGGGGATGTTGCAATTCATGGTCAGCTTCTCATCCCCAAGGCCTCGAGGGAGCCTCATGTGTCAATTTTGATTGACTGAGGTCGATTATGCTCCCTGAAACACACCCAGCGTGACAAATACCTCAGGTAGCCTAGCCATTGCGGTGTGTGCTGCATGAACTGCTGCTTGTCTGAAGCCCATAGAAATCTAGGTTTAGAGGATATCAACTAGGGGTGGATGATGTGGGGAAAAACTACCAAAAAATAAAGCAACAAGTAAAAAGGGACATGTTTTAGTTTCCTGTGCTTTGTCAGTTCAGAATAGTGTTAGAAAAAGGTTTTAGGAGTGGTGTTAGTGGTGCAGCACAGGGCGTACGTGCTGTTTGCCTTGTTTGTGTCAGCCCTCATGTTACACTGAAGTCTTTTAGTGAGCGTCCCCTATATGTAAGTGAGATCTGTTGTTCCTGGAGGCTTAGGTTAATGATTTGTCCTCCATTGTTTGCTGCTGCTCTTCAAGTACAGGGTTAAAGAAGAGCCCGCTGTCACTCTGGCAACAGGTGCTCCTGGCTCCGCTACGACATCAAAGAGCATGGGATGGGTGTGAGTGTGTGCGGGGGGGGGTCACCTAGCAACAAGGCCTGTGAGCGGAGTGCACTGTCTCGCTTGGTGTGTTGTCACCCACTGTTTGTTATTTTACCAAAGGTGTGTGTCTGTTTACAGGCCAGGAAAGGTGATAGGTGGGACATTGTGTAAGTGGAAAGGAGCCGGATGGAGCAGACAGACGTGCTGGTGACAAAGGCCCGCCCTCTTCTTCCTGCCGTCTGCTGCTCTCAATAGGAGTGATAAAAGCCCAGTATCCATTACCCAAAACAAGCCCTTGTGTCAGTCCACGCACACAACCCACGCCCTTCCGACACACAGTACTCCAACATACAGCTTAGGCAGATGTATACTGGCTGTATTCTGGCCTGTGCAGACAGACTAGAGCCTGATGAGAACACACATGCAAGTTGCATGAGGCAGAAATTATGCAGCTAACCCATTTATCCACCACGTTCTGGGCTGTGGTTTCACAAGGAGGAAGCTGATGAATATTCCCCTCACAGTTTCTTTTCCTACCTCATTATTCTAATGTGACCAAGATGTGTTGCTGTTTCAAACATTAAAATCCACGGTATAACAGTTCTGTATACACAAGACCTAATTCTTGGGATATATATATAGATATTTTATTTTATTTTTCTCAGTTTTGTATTTACACTTATATTGTTTACCTTGTGTGTTATGTGCAATTACTACTGTTTTACTGTAGTATTTTCTTTTACTCCTGGCTGCAGGTACAAAGAATACATTTCACTGTGCATTGTACTATGTATAACTGCATGTGACAAATAAAACCTATCTTATCTTATCTTATCTTATGTTATCCACACATATGGACACAATTATCCCCAACTGAGACAGTGTGTGATGTCTGATGTCAGGTTCAGGTTCTGGGACTCATTTGTGCACCCAATTCGTGCCAGAATCATAAAAGATCAAACTGTCGTAGAGTTGATATTTGGACTTTATCTATTTTGGTGAATACTCTTTTTAACATCTGTTCTTTCTCTCTTCTTCGTAGATATACATGCACCTACGTTACTACAGCTCTCCCAACGAGCAGAGGCACATAGTAAGGATCCTCTTCATAGTCCCCATCTATGCCTTTGACTCCTGGCTGAGCCTTCTTTTCTTCACCAATGAAGAGTACTATGTGTACTTCGACACGGTCCGAGACTGCTACGAAGGTGAGTGGATAGAGGAACACAGTGCAATGAACTGCTCCACTAGTGTGTTCTGCTGCAGGCTGGATTATATTCTGCCATAAGTGTCATGCAAACGGCAGGCCAGTATTCACCACTGTGGTGGGAGTCCGTATTTTGTGAGATAATGTGTCTTTTGACTCCCAGTAGAAATAAGGGTGTGAGAATTTATGTGTTGTGATACCTCAGTGGCAGATGGCCTTTGCAGTGTCTTCATTTACAAAGGTTGCCATCTTTGTTCTTGTGTCTCCATGGCCTCTTGGGATTGCAGGGGAGGGGGATCCTGTTTCCTAGCAACTGTATGAAAACGAGCAAATCCTTTGCAAAGACTTTTAAAAGGCTTCTCACTTTTGAGCAGATAAATCGTAAGCTTATTCTTCACAGCTTACAAGCCTGTAATGCAGCTATTGCATCTGAGTATTGAGGCAGATTCCAAGCGATTCCATAACATGCAATGGTTATGTTTGCTCTTATTATTCCATCATCACATGTGCTTTATAAGGGTCATTGCCTGAACATGCTTTTAGTGCTATTAGTTTAGCTACAGGAAGGCAAAGATGCCAAATATCAGCTGGTTAAAGCGACTCAGTTGTGAGGATTTGCTGCTATTCTCTGTTCATCAAAAAAAGAGCCGACAGTTTAATTGATCCTTAAAACAATGGTTAGTTGTGCCCCTGTACACATTGACAATATCATGTCACGAAAGGCTGCTGTGAGCAGTGTTTGGTCAGTCTGCTGTACTCGTAGTGTAGCAGGTTTGACAGTGTCTGAGAGACGCCATGGTAGGCCAGCACCTGTTAGGGCAATGTATTGTTTAATGTAGAGACTGACATAGGGTTTATTATAGACACAATTGGTGCCGTCCACTGCAGGTAAAATACAGGGTTCCCACGCATCCTGGGAAACCTGAAAAAGCTGGAAATTTAGAGACTAGATTTCCAGTCATGGAAACACATGGATATTGATTAAAATGATCAAATGTCCTGGAAATAATCTCTGTTATCCGTAGCCCCTCACTCAGATCACCTACTGAAACCTGGGTGTGTATTTAGTCGAATGAACTGTACATTTCAAACGGGTTCTCCAGATGCAAAGTTGAACTAACTTTCCAGCTTCAAGTCCATTTTTTCCAGAGCTTAAAGGTCCTGGAAAACAATTTGTTACAAAGAGTGTGAACCCTGAGAATATACACATAGTGCAGTAAGTGCACAGTATTTAGAGAAAGAAGCATTTTAAATTGTTTTCATGCTGCCAGTGTTTGCTTCTCTCTCTCTCTCTCTTACAAACACAGACACAAGCTCACTCAGCTGCCGGTAGTAGAGTATTTGTTCCTCTTCCAACAGAGTGTATAGACATCCCCCCAAAATGTATCTTTAGTTCTTTCTGAATTCTCTTTCTATCCATTTGTACCAATACTGTGTACCTTTATGGTTGATCAAAAGGTGCACATGTGGGGCCCATTACTGTATGTGCCTGTTATGGTACTGCTGTTAAATATGTATTTTCTGTCTCTCTCTTGGAGTGTATATCACAATTCAGTACATATTACAGAATGACTAAATGGTAGAATAGTGTATGAAAGTATACTGTTACTGCTATTATATGACAGAGTTTTCATAAGACATTATTGAATAGTCAGCTTTGTCCTTGCAATAAGCCATTTCTGTGGAGTTGCTCTTATTATTGACACTCTTGGATATTTATTCTTTCAAACTGCGTGTTAAAATTATTTCATACTGCAAGTCCCATTCAAGGTAAAAGCAGTGAAAGTGCAAGTGAAAATAATACTGAATGCGTAGTTATGCAACAAAGCCAGCCCTGTGCTCACTTTGTTCTGGCGGTGTGCTGCAATCACAGACGTGCTTTTAAACTCAGCCACTTAAAACAGTAAAGAGAGCAGCGGCAGTAGGGAGCTGGTATCCGTGGGTTACCCTTAAATTAGCCTGAGAACACCTGGGGCAGCAGACGAAACACATCATGCTCACCCAGGGACGCCAATTGCTGGGATCAGTATGCAGCCCAGTCAGGTTTATTTGAATTATATGTTACTCAGCAAAATGAATGAATAGCCAATACGTTATTGACCAGTCCAGTACACAGGATATCATATTACTGCCATGTATGCTTTTTTGGGCCTAACTGTAAATAAAAGGGATAGAAAGGTAAGAGCATGTATGTCAGTGTCTTTGCATCTATTAATTGGCACCTTTCTATGAAAGACATGCCACTACAGCAGACAGACAGACAGACATGAATCTGTAGGTTTTTATTCCTGTCAGACAGCTCAGACTTTGCTGTTTAGCCGTGTAGTCTGTTTTCTGTTGCGTAACTGTAACCATACCTTGGATGGGATGTTCATCTGAAGCCGTGCTTAAATAAAACACACACAAAAATCTGTAAAAGCGACCGGTTGCTTTGATTAAGTTGATTACTTATGAGATCCGACCAGTGGGTAGAATAGAAAGGGATTAGAGGCACACCTGGTGTAGCTTCACATTTAGGTCCACGATGCCGTGGAAGAATACTGCTACTACGGATCAGAATCGTATTGTAACATGTGACGTTTTGTGTTAGTTATATAACGCATTACATGAGTGAGTATCACAGCCTTAAATGTGCATCGTTCTGTTGTGTAAGATCTGTATTGTTTCTCTCAACCGTTTGTATTATGTGACAACATTGTGTGGCAGTGTGACACGACCATGAGCTCTGTTCAGTGTTGGCTTTCTGCAACAATGTTTCCACAGGTGTCCCATTATCTTTACCATTATCCACTTCTGCCCCCAGCACTAGAGATAGTATACCTTACAATTATGCTTAGGCTTATACCTCACCCACAACATTACCCAATCATCTCTAAGCCTGCTGATGGGGATGACTCACCTCTCTTCCTTGAAATGGCAAGCTCAGCAGTTCTGAAACAAAATCAGAAAAGCATAAGTGTAATTACGACAGTTACACCATGGGTTGTCAGCAACATCGGCTTCAGTTATCATGCATCAGTATGTTTTTGGAGGCTGTTAGAAATAACCAAACCACATCAGCAACATCGACATGCTATTTTTGTAAGAACCTAAGTATAAATGTAGGTTTCTCATTTTACTTGTGAGCCATTCTGAAGCCAAAATTAGCTTCAGATTTTCTCCTGCTAGAGAGGGATGAACCCTTGGTTGACTCTGACATGATGTGTAACCCTGAATCTGGATTTTCTGCACAAATTTTCTTATCTAATGCTTCAAACACTTACACTTACTTGGCTGAAAAAATGTAACCTTTTTTTCCGTGTGCGACACTGCAGCCTTCGTCATCTACAACTTCCTGAGTCTGTGTTATGAATATCTGGGAGGAGAGAGCGCCATCATGGCTGAGATCAGAGGGAAACCCATTGAGTAAGTCTTGCTTGCTCTCATCTTACCTTTTTTTTAATTTAATTTCTTTCTTTCTGGTCTAAACAATTGCTTGAGAAATGTCATGATAAAGTATCCTGCATACTTTGCCAACGATTTTGACCTGTATGAACCTGCACTCCACTTTAGGTCAAGCTGTATGTATGGGACCTGCTGTCTGTGGGGCAAGACGTACTCCATTGGTTTCCTCAGGTTTTGCAAACAGGTAACAATCAAAGGGTGTTATATCTATGTTTATATGTTGTGCTTTACAGATATATGAACTACTGTCCACTATGTTAATGCATGTTTCATAGGCGTGCACAATAATTATCAGGGCAGGTAGATTATCGGCTGATAATATGATATTTATAGTCTTATGTATTATTCCAATAATTAAATTCTAGCCGATAAATAAGGGAGTAATAATGATAATAATGATATATTATTTTGAATTGTGGAAATTTTTTGATGAATTTTACTAGAACATTTGAAGAGTCAAAACTGTTTTTGTTGCCAACTGTGTTTCTTGCCATCACATGAACTAACATACACTAAGATTGTGAACTTATAAATACAAAATTTATAAATTATCAGTAATCTTATTATATTCATTATATCAGCTGAAAAAAAATCCATATCATGCATCCCTAATGTTTTATCATGTTAACTAACTATAGATTCAATATGATATGAATATCTATAAATATGTCCATACGGTATAAGAATCTACTAGTAGATTAGTAGAAACTACTGTAGTTTAGAAAGTTAAACAAACTGGTATGGCCTTACTGCTTTTACTGCTTTTTATTGACATGTTATTTCTCCTGATCTTCTCTTTTTTACCTCATACCTACCATGTTTAATTCCCCCTCTCTCTCTCTCTCTCTCTCTCTCCCATTCTCTCTCTCACACACTCTTGCTTCGTCAGGCAACTCTCCAGTTCTGTGTGGTGAAACCCCTGATGGCAGTGATCACTGTCCTTCTTCAGGCCTTTGGGAAATACAAAGATGGAGACTTTAAGTATGTTTCTTCAACAACATTCCCACCGTCATTCACAACATGGACATCTCCATGCTCCATGTTGTGTCACACTACTGCAGACACTGACTTCAGACCATTATTGGCTGAGCAGAGTTAAACACAACCTCTGAATTCATATCTGTAATGAGTAATCAAAAGATAGAAACGCTCTAGAAAGTCTCTAGTTATCTCTACTGTGCAGTTGTTAGGTCATTACTATAAGATCCCTAATGAGGGCCTGTATCAGTGCTGCTCTACAGCCCATCCATATTTTAATGAACTTGACCCGAAGCTGCATATTTATGTAGAAATACATTCATCAACCTTCACAAGGAAGAGCCGCAGCTTTCCCAGAACTAGAACACTATTTTAAATGGTTTCAGTTCCTTCGTTTGATCACTTAGAAGTTTGTCATGTGTGTCCTAGCTAAAGGACATTGTTTTGTGTCTCTCTCGTCCAGTGTGGCTAGTGGTTACCTGTACGTGACCATTATCTACAACATCTCAGTCAGTCTGTCGCTCTACGCCCTCTTCCTCTTCTACTTTGCCACGCGTGAACTGCTTGTCCCGTACAACCCCGTGCTCAAGTTCTTCATGGTCAAGTCAGTCATCTTTCTCTCCTTCTGGCAAGGTAAGAAGACCACCACCTGTATTTGTTAGCACACATCAGTACACATGCCCATTTTTTCTGACATGATTTTGTTCAGCAGTCTGTAGGTTTATATCTGTATATCCAAATATTGGGCACATTTTAAATGAATTTCCAGAAGGTTGGCAAAAAAAAAATGGAAACCTGTAATTTGTTCCCATCTGTGCAAATATTCTAGTGTTTGCAGCAAGATTTCATACTATAATTAAAAGACAGCTATTTTCATTCAAGAAAAACCTCTGGATGGTGTTTTTGCTGCTGCCATTTATGGGGTTTTGCGGTGCAGTCATGTGAAATCTATGATACTGCATTGCACTGCCAGAAATTAACTCAGAAGAAGAGGTATGTTAAAAATGTCCAACTGGACAATTCCCCCCTTCAGTCACCGCCCCAAGTAGTTTCACAGCTGGGAGATGAGCGGCGAGTTTGCTACGTGCAACAAGCTCGCTTAGCTTTAACAAACAAAATAAACTCAAGATGTCAAGAAAGAAAATATATGAAACATCTATTTTCTGAAAACGTACACCTTCTGAATTATTCTCTTTTACCGAACTAAGAGCTGTTCAGTTACCTTGTTAACTAATTTTGAAGCACACTTCATTAATACTCACAGAAACATAATAAAACTCACTGAAACTATCTTGGTTAGTCATTCACGTGTTCCAACAATCATCAACTCTGGTGTCAAATCGAGTTAGAAGTGAAAATATCCTGGCTCTGCGCGCTGTCGCAGCCTCTCTAATACCCGACCTCGCTCCTCTCCCACTTCACGTCTCTCTCACGTCAGAGTCCTGGTCGGAGCCACTGTAAATCATTCCAGTACTGTATTCCCTGTAGTCAAACTGGTCGAAATAAAGCCCTAATTTACAGAGTTAAGAATACTCTGGCTCTACCGTGACCACTCGTTCTTCGGACACAGTGATAAAATGACAAACATCACCCAAACAATCAGCCAGAAAAAAACAACCGATGACTCTGATAGCCGATACATCTGTCCAGTCGCCCAACCCTAGTAACACTTATTAAGTCCACATCAGCTTTCAACACCCTTTTCATGAATCCTGTCTGTTAATACGGCGACCTTTTCAGTTTTTGAACAGGCGTTCTATTTCTGTGTCTCCACTCAGGTTCTTTCATGCACAGATTCAAATGTGTGCCGTTGAAAACTCGCTTTGTGTCTGTTCTCCGTTTATGATTTCTTTTCTCTCCCCCTGCCCGTGTTTGTGCACTTCAGGGATGCTGCTGGCCATTCTGGAGAAGTGCGGAGCCATCCCTCAGATCAGCTCGGCTGACTTCTCTGTGGGCGAGGGAACGGTTGCCGCTGGTTACCAAAACTTCATCATCTGCATTGAGATGTTCTTTGCTGCTGTTGCTTTGCGCCATGCCTTTACTTACAAGGTCTATATGGATAAGAGACTGGACTCATATGGTAAGGGAAGTGTGTGTGTGTGTGTGTGTGTGTGTGTGTGTGTGTGTGTGTGTGTGTGTGTGTGTTTGCAGGTATTAAGAGGCTGGTGTAGTTCTGATGGGTCGGGGATCAGAAAGGTTAAGCAAAATGTGTTTTATAATGGGAGAGAGTGCCTGTATGTTATAGAGTGTACCAGATTCTGTCTGCTGTGAACATTGTGAAATGGGTCTCGATACAGACTGGTTTCTTCAGTGTTACAGAGCTGATCTGACCTCGTTCTTTGTGTTCCGGCCTTTTTACTTTACTGATTCCTATCATTGACACTCTCTTAACTATTTTGAGTCTTTCTCTTTTCTTCTGCTTTGTTCTTCTGTTCCGTCATTTTCATCTTGACTCTTGTGTTCCTTGTCTTTCTTTGTCTCTCCTTTTTTCTCTCTTCTTCACTGTGCTGCACTGACAGGCTCATTTCCTATCTATGGACAGTACGGTAGGTCTGATGTTAGCTGTATTTTGTCTTATGTTTGCCCCATTACAGTTCTTTTTGTTACCCCTTTTGTGTTTGATTGTAGTTAAATGTTCATTACTTTAACATTGTTTGCATTTCAGCATGAATTCAGTTTATATATTTAAAGTCATGGGGGTTATGGCTGTCTTGTTTTGTGTTCTTAAGTATATTTTGCAGTCAGTGAACATTTTGTCTTTTCATTTCTCCTGGCACCATTTTGTTCCTACCCTGTCCCACCCAGTGCCCCCCTTCTGTTCTCTCGGCAGAAAAGCAGATTATTTTATTCCATCCTGCTCCTTAAATTTAGCAAAATTTTATTTTTGGCAAAATTTTAAAATAATGTATGTGGAATTTTAACTGGAATTAAACTGTTACTATCCAGCTTGACAATTGATAGACGTGGCATTTTGAGATAAACAGCATTGGCAAATGCCTGCGCTCACAAGGCTGATAAACAAAATGTGTTTGCAGTCACATTTTCAGGCAGCCATGTCAGTGTGGCTGCTGTGGAACGATGTTAGCACTGAAAAAGTTGGTTTCCCTGTACTATACCTCTCATGCAACGATTACTGGCTAGCGTATATATTAGGTTATAAGGGTACACCAATGTATTTTTCTGTTTCATTAATTAATACAATTCTAATCTAAAACAACATGTCACTGGCTAACTGGCTAAAATAGCCATGTATATTAGATTATAATGTGTATGATATTATGGAATTTTAAATGACTCTTCTTGGTTTTCATATCAGCATTATATTTTGGCCATTGGTCGCCCTGCTCTCTAATATCTGCATCAGCCATTGCAAAACCCCTAATGGTCGGCTCAGTTAATCTAAACAGCTGGATGGAAACATAGTTTCTGTGCTTTTTCTCACTCATCTGTTACTTTCATATTGCCCCCCCCATCCATCCATCCTGCTCTGTCTCTCTTTATTAATTTTCCAACCTTCCTACCCCACCTCCAGGTCGCTGTGCCCCAATGAAGAGCATCTCCAGCAGCCTCAAGGAGACCATGAACCCAGGGGACATGGTCCAGGACGCCATCCATAACTTCTCCCCAGCTTATCAGCAGTACACCCAGCAGTCCACGCTTGAGAGAGGTGGGGGGCCACCCCTCTCACGCAGCCACAGTAACCTCAGCACCCGTGGGGACAATGAAAAGACCCTGCTGCTCAGCTCCGACGACGAGTTCTGAGACTCAAACGCTCACTCAGAGGCTCACTTTACTCTTGTAGCCCATATTGATTTTTTTTTTATCAGCTATCTTAGATCAGATCTTCTGTTGCTACCTTAACATGGAAGATCAGATTCTGTTTTCTTTCCTTCTTTTTTTTCCCCACATTTAGACAGTGAAAAGATAGGATTCATGTCAGACATACAAAACTTTGGTTAACAGACTGTCGGAAGGGCTTGAGTGTATTATAAGGAAGAAGAGGAGGAGTAATGGTACCGTAGGAGAAGAGGGAGCACGAAGAGGGTAGAGAAGTTGTCACAAATATAGTTGGGGAGAGGAGAAATTTAGATTTTTAGGTTTATTTAGTTGTCATTTGTGTTGATGTAATAGAGGCCATTACTGACAGAAATACCATATCTACATCCATCTAATATGGATTGGTTCAGACACCTGTGCCTGCATATAGCGTCCTTATGCTGCACCACAGCGAAAACGATGACAGATAGCAGGTCTGTGCTAGAGCAAGTAAGTGCCATCTTCATCTGAAACACATGGCCTCCTTCATCTTTTCGTTTTTTTGTACAGATTCTCGATCCACACTCCCCCTCACCCCTCTGCCAACTCTGCCTCGTACCGAAACATTGCCAAATAGAGGGAGCAGTACCCTGTGCTCCAGCTAATGAGACACTGTCTCAAGACGTAGAAATGATTTATAGTCAAACTAAACTAAGGAGCCTTCGAATTCCAGGGCTTTAATATATAAGAATTGAATCACAAATATTTTTTTTTATTTGAATCTTGTATGACCTTGAAGGTGTAACTCATTTAAAGACTAGTTTGTTGGAAATGTATCATTCCAGAAATGTTGAATAATATCCTGAATATTCTGTGTTGTTTGCATTTTGTTGTGGGTTCATATGAACAAGTGACTCAAAAGATTAATTGTACAACTCCAGCTGTTGGCCTGACTTGGGCTCCTCGCACAGCGTTGTTGTTTGTGGAGCACAGAGGGAACAGCTGCAGGAGAGATTTCAGTGTGGGGCAGAGAGACCGACGGAAGGACAACACCCACACAGATTACAGATTACTGAAGAAGCAACACTTCCCTGCAGTGCCGGCCCAGCTGTGATGTGCTATGGATTGTAATCCCATAATTAAGGGCATTACATGTAGCACAGATCAGGCCTGCCTCTGCTGGTATCGTTTATAATGGCCTCACTGCTATAGTAGTAGTGAGAGTGAGGACATTGATCATTACAGACAGATAAAGCCATGCAAAGATCGATCAGTGCAAACAAGGCTTTTAATCCAACTGGACTCACATCCAGAAAATAAATATATGGGCATTAAAAGTTGCAAGAGGATAGAATATTCAGGTACTGTTAGAAAATATACATGTAGTTATGATTAATACATGTACGGGGGCACACTATGCTAGAAGACAGTGACGCATGGTAGAAAAAAAACCTTTAGACCTGCCTGTCGTCCTCTAGATCTTATTATCTTTTGGAAAAAGATAATGGTATAATAGTTTGAGTTTAATGTTCACATGCGACCAACTACTGTTTAATATGCGTTTTAGCAGAGGCCAATATAGAAGTCACTTGTGTGTGATTCTGAATATTTGATGGAGGAGCACGACATCAGGTATACAACCTGAGTGGATCCTTTCGACAGGCGACACTGCTGCCTATAAATGTGCAATTCATCGTTTTTTTTCCTCTTGTCATGTCGAGTGCTGAGTCCAAACTGATTTTACACATTGACTCAAGCCCATTGACTGCAGGTTCACAAACAATACAGTCCTTGTGAGTAATGAATGTAGTCAGGATGAAGAAAAACAGCCAAATTGATGGTGCATCCTCAGAAGAGCACAATCAACTTCCTAATGAGAAATCTGTATTCAGTTAGCAGAATAACTGAAGTGTTTGTTAAATTGTTGGTTTTCAGCTGTGACTGCTAACACATATCACTACCAACCATCTCCTACACAAAATAATTAAGACTTAATATAACTTGTGCATCCGTCTTTCCACCGAACCTGTAGAGGTTCAGTTGAAGGCAAGGTCGAGTGAATTTGTTCTATTAATGTAACATTAACTTAATGGTATCGAAAAAGTGAAATTCACTGCCTTATACTCTGCCCCAGTGTAACAGCATATCAGACTCAAGCATTTTGATTCAGAATACTGTCCGATTATTTGTTTTGATACAATGTGATTGAAAATCTGGATGTTAATCACAAAGCTGAATATATTAAACAAGGAAATATTGTATCAGAAAGGCAAGAACGTTGTATATAGAGTTAAACTAAGCACTGCGGAACATTTATGATGATGACTGCAATGGTATTGCTTGGTATAGTGCTTTAGTTTAATATTTTAATTTTCATATATTCTCTGGTTTTATTTCTGTTGTATACTTTGATTTGTATATTGGTAATATTATCTCATGTTTTTATGCTATATTGGTTTCTATTGGTGGTGAAAAGGAAATAAAAGACAAATGCAAACAAGACATTTCTGCCAGGTGTTTGTTCAAGTCAGCTTGTGGTATGGATGAGATGATGTACAATATTATTGTTTGACTTGAAAAAGCTGTCTGGATCTCCAGCAGACAGTCCTATATTGATTTCCTGATTTATTTTTAATAACGGGACAAGAGTGTGCTCACATCTGTCCTGTCATTCCAAAAACCTGATGTGTGGAAATAGCATAGTTTTCGAAATTAAGATCAAGGAGATGAGGTGCCTATCAATGCAATAAATATGTGTATTAACAATATTTAAGGTACAGTGATTCCAGTATGTTTAAGTGTCATTTTAAAAGTTTGAATTATATTTTCATAATTATTGTGATGATATTGTACATAATTATTTTGGCCAAGATAATATGTCATAGGAAATGTTCACATTGTGTCATGCCAAGCTTGTAGACACCATTACCATCATCACAATAATATGTAATATATTGTGACATTGTACAATCATTCTACTTTTATTTATACACTCTAGAAATAGCCAGAGAACTAGAAACCCCTGTAGTCAGCAGTGTTAAGTGCAGTGTTTATATTTACAGCTACCAGTTACTTAAATTCACATATAAGACAATGATACTCATTATACTTCAAATGAATCTCTATTTAACTCCACCAGCTACAAACTGATGCTGCTTATATGCAAATCTTTACACATGTAGGATTACTTAACAATTTAATTTAATAACTAGACAGTTACTTGTAATAGAGTATTTTCACAATATTCACATATTGTCGCAGGTTTTCGTTTCAGGCCATGAGGATGTCAATCATACGTGAGGGGCGGGGCTTCTCAAACAGCCAGCCAATCACAGTAACTTCCGCTCACCGGCAGCCGGAGCGCTAACAACAACATAGCAGAGCTATAACAAGAGCTTGGTGCGACTTATTATTGTGTCAGTTGGACTTTAGTTTAAATTCGTCTTACCAAAACCATGGTGTGGTGTCATATCTGACTTTTCAACAAGCTCATATTAAGAAAGAGACAGTTTCTCCATCCAGTCAGCGTTACAAGCTAACATTAACGTTAGCATTTGGCTGAAACAGCGTCGGTGGTTTTGGAGCTAACGTTAGGCCCGAGGCGGTAACGACAGGTGAACGACAGGTAACCGGGGCCCGCTGACCTAAAGGCCACAGAAAATAACTGCTTCACCCCCCGAAAGACGAACCAGTGTCCCCAAAATGAGATCGTACGGAGACAGGGATCGAGACCGCGGCCGTGACAGAGGGTAAGCAGCGAAGAGTCAAAACAACCAGTTAGCATGCGAGCTAATGCTAGCCCAAACCGTTAGCATAGCTGTCATTGTAAACGGACTTTAGTGCGAAATTGTGCTCGACAGTGCTGACATGTAATGTTGTTATGGCGGCCCAGACAGCTGTCGTATACCTAGCTACACAGTGTGTGTCTGCTCTTGTCGCAGGAGCCCTCGTTTCGGGTCCAGCAGAGGCGGCCCACCGCCGGGGAGAAAGTTTGGGAACCCCGGAGAACGTTTACGAAAGAAGAGGTGGGACCTGGACGAGCTTCCCAAATTTGAGAAGAACTTTTACAGTGAACATTCAGAAGTGCAGCGAATGAGCCAGGTAAAGCTGAAATGTCCCAGTGTGATCTTGTGCAATGCGTATCTAACGATCCCCTTTGGTTTGGTTCATGAAAAGAGAGGCTCTGGCGTTTTCTGTGTCGGATTCACACACTGGCTTCATGTGTTGTGCTTTCAGTATGATGAAGAGGAGTATCGCAGGAAGAAAGAAATCACTGTTCGAGGCTCCGGCTGCCCAAAGCCCATCACCAACTTCCATCAGGCACAGTTTCCCCGTAAGCAACACCGTGGGTTACACATCAACTCATACTAAGTCTGTTGTTAGAGAATTAACTGGAATATTTGTGTTCTGCCTCTCCATCCAGAATATGTAATGGATGTACTGATGCAGCAGAATTTCAAGGAGCCCACAGCCATTCAGGCTCAAGGTTTCCCTCTGGCCCTCAGCGGTAGAGACATGGTGGGCATTGCTCAGACTGGCTCTGGGAAGACCTTATCGGTGAGACATGTACCTCCCTCGACCCCTGTATTTGCAAAGATAAATACGGTGAATTACACAGCAGCATAACTCACCGACCTCTCCTCCTTTCTTCTTTGTGAAGTATCTGCTGCCTGCCATTGTGCACATCAATCATCAGCCCTACTTGGAGCGTGGCGATGGACCCATTGTACGTGAAGAGAAAAGGAATACACTAATCTCTGAGTAGATATGTGTACAATAATGATATTAAAAGCCTTCAAAGTGTCCAATGCACTAAACAGTGGATTGTTATGGTATTGTATGTGTGCTCTGCAGTGCTTGGTTCTGGCCCCCACGAGAGAACTGGCGCAGCAGGTCCAGCAGGTGGCATACGACTATGGAAAGTCATCCCGCATCAAAAGCACCTGTGTGTATGGGGGTTCTCCCAAGGGACCTCAAATTCGAGACCTGGAGAGGGGTGAGGGGTCATTTCTGCTTGGATTGACACTATTTTGTGTCACATTACTAACTATTATATTATTATTATTATTATTATTATTATTTATTATTATTATTTATTAGTTATTCTTATTTTTAGCTAAGCAATTGTTACCCATTGAAATCCACATTGAGTTAGTCTGTAATTGATGTTTTTTTGAGTGTAATTAATTATATAAGACACTGAAACATAGCTTTGTTTCTCCTAGGTGTTGAGATCTGCATCGCCACTCCAGGTCGTCTGATTGACTTCCTCGAGGCTGGAAAGACCAACCTGAAACGCTGCACGTACTTAGTTCTGGATGAAGCTGACCGCATGCTGGATATGGGGTTTGAACCACAGATTCGCAAGATTGTGGACCAGATCAGGGTAAAGCTAATACATTTGTACATTAAAAGTATTTATTAGTTATTAGTTTAGTTATTGTTTGTCTTTTAGCAGCCAGAGAATTTCCTGCTTTTTTAGCATGTGCATTATGCTGTTGTTAAACGAAGCAGTCCTTTTCAGTGTCTGTTGTTCCCTGTTTTTGTTTATTTGGTGTGCTCCTGTCTTTGCCAGCCCGACAGACAGACCCTGATGTGGAGCGCTACCTGGCCTAAAGAGGTTCGCCAGCTGGCGGAGGACTTTCTGAAAGACTATGTCCAAATCAATGTCGGCGCGCTGGAACTCAGCGCCAACCACAACATCCTTCAGATAGTCGATGTCTGTATGGAGAGTGAGAAGGACCACAAGTAAGAGGCTTGTTGCATCTTTTGTTTCCTGCTTTTGTTTATTACAGGTAGTTTGGTTTGTATTCTTCAGGGTCTTCTTCTTTGTGATATTACTTTATTCTTGCTTCTTATTCCTTTCCTGTGTTGAATCTCTTGCCTGCCCCTTTCAAGCCTTAATTAAAGGATTGTTTCCTCTATTTTTTGTAGAGATGAGTGAGCATTGTATACATGTTAAACCTGTAAATATTATGTATCTGTTGATTATTTTTTTGTTTCCTGTTCTCAGGTTGATCCAGCTGATGGAGGAGATTATGGCTGAGAAAGAGAACAAGACCATCATCTTCGTGGAGACCAAGAAACGATGTGACGATCTCACACGCAGGATGAGACGTGATGGGTGAGTACATGTAGCTGGTGTGAATAAATACACTGTACACCGCTCAAATAAAGACTTTTGCCCCAACACTGATTTAAATGTTCATCCTGTGGATGACCAAGAACTTTGTAAAAATGGGAATGAGTGCATTTTCTTCCTGGGATTACGAATGGATCATTAAAAGAACTAAAGCTATTCATTGATATGACAGGTTGCTTGTCTGTCTTCTAGGTGGCCAGCGATGTGTATTCATGGTGACAAGAGCCAGCCAGAGAGAGACTGGGTGTTATCGGGTAGGACAGACCGTTTTGCCAGTGTTGTCTCTTTGAAGATGATGTTCGGCTCCTAATCATCTGTTCTTTGTCTCGTGTTGCAGAATTTCGTAGCGGCAAAGCTCCCATCCTCATCGCTACTGATGTGGCCTCGCGTGGTCTGGGTATGTCCTGTGTGCTCAAGTGCAACGCAAATCATTTCCTCAGTATAACCACACACAAACACACACACGCACACACACACAATATTTAACTGTTTTTAAAATGTAGTATAATCGCAATGTAGTAACAACAACAATGGTCATTATATAATGATCAGACTCTTCACTGAATGTTTATTTACAGTAGATTTATGATCAAATGTGAACCACGCACACATAGAGATTTGCTTTCTAAAGAGCATATGATGCTTCTCAGATAAAATGTGTATCTAAGAAGTGTATCATATTCGAAGCAGGGTTTCCTGTGAGGATTTAAGCCACTTTGCTCTATTGACTAAGACAGAAAAACACTGAACATAAGAATGATGTTGAATAAAGTGTGAAGATGTAAGGGGTGAGGCTAGTGAAGCAGCCCCTTACAGGATGGCAATCAACCTTTAACCTAATTCTATGTTCATTTGTTTTCTTTTCATTTTGTTTTTGTTTGTTGTTTCCAAGTCTCTCCTCGGGCAACTAGAAGCACACAGGCCCTCGGGAGCCTGCAGCCGGACCTAGGCATGACAAATCGAAAAGCTGACTTGGGGAGAGAGACGGCCTGATTAATCAGTCCCACACAGCCATCTCCACTGAATCCCTAGAACAGAGCCCACAAACAAAACTCTCCCCCCTTCCAGGACACTGGCTGCCTGGGCGACAGAGGGGGGGAGGGGGCGAGCGCGGGGTGCTGCTGGGCTTCCAAATTTGATCGTAGGGTCGGGGGCCGCTGTCAGGCGAGAGGGCGAAGAGGGGGGTATGGAGGAGGGTGGGCTCCCCTCGGCCATGCCATCATCACAGTGACGCACCACACCATTTGTTCCTGATTAAATTGACTCAGAGACTTTTTAACAAAGTTTTCTATATCTGTGTATTAATCTGATGGGATATGGATTAAGAAAACGTTCCTGCACAGTCCCTGTGGAGATACATTTCCATTCCCATTAACAAACTTTGTACGGCAAAATTTGAACCTAAATTGGTCCTGCAGATAATACACGCTGATAGATGAGACATATCACTGAGATACAGTGGTGCGTTACAAGAAGACAGAGAAAGAGACACCTGCCAGGAAGTGAGGGTGGAAAGCAGCCAAAGCCGGGCATGGACGGCTATGCTGGAGGCTCCCCTCTGAACTGCCCCCTGATGCCAGCCCCTGACACCCCCCACCACTGGCTGTGCCGGCCGGCCTCTCCCTCTGCGGACGTCATGTCTGGTCCTGGCTGGCAGGAGTCCTGGCCTGGAGGAGCCACCTCTCTATAATCGATTTCCCTCCCTTTCTGTCCTTTCTTTCATTCAATTTCTCTACCTCCCTCACACATGTCTCTTTTTCCACCACTTCTCGTCCTGTTTTGCTCATTTCTTATATGTCTGATTCTTTCTCTCATTCATCTCTTCTCATTACCTCCTGTCCACCACCCAACCCGCCTTCCTTCAACCTCCCATCTTTTCTTCAAACTATTTCTGACCCCTGTCCTTTTTGTCCCTTTGCCCCCTGTCCCCAAATTTACTGTGTCCTGCTTTCAACCCCTCTTTTGTTTTTACCACATCAGCCATCTTTTCTTTGTATACATCATACCTGACCACCAGTCCAGTCTGTTAATAACTCACCAGCTCTTGATGAAGTGCTAAATTTCTCCATAAGGACTAGCACAGACTGCCCGAGCCCACTCTCAGACCCCTCTTACAGAAAACATCCATGTATCTTCTCCTTAGTGTCTGTTTCTTGTTACTAAACTTGAAAAGCTGGGCTCGTTGACATCACTGCCGTTGGAAGTGACCCTGGGGGGCATTTGGAACAAGCCACACCAATCAAAGCCCCGCTCTACATCATGATAAGAACTTACTTGTCACTGCCACCCACTAATGTAAGAAATAGCAGAGTAGGTCGTTCTCACAAGGGCTTAAGATCCTTGAAGTTTACGTGAAAGAATCCAGTAAAGGCCTCTCCACCCGCCACCTAGTGCTAGGAAAACCCAGCAGTAACATCTCCAGGGGGGAAAAAGAGGCTGGGTGTCAGAAAGAGGCAAAACATAAGACTAGAGTAGGACCGCACAGTCCATCTGGAGCCCTGGCCCAGACAGTTGCCAGCTTTGGGAGTGTTGTGGAGGAGTGGCGAGGTGGGAGAAGGGACTGCTTTTTGTCCTGTCTGCTCTCCTCCTACCCCTGCAGACCTCCCAGGACTGGTGATGGGTAGGGGGACAGAGAGGTAACTTTGTAAGCCATCACTAAATCTCTGAGACAGGGTAAGTACTGTACCTCAACCTGCCCCCCCTTTCCCATTTTCTCTTCCACCAGCCTTCATCATTTTGCTTACAAAACAAGACCTGTTTTCCCTCTAATCAGCAGTGTTTTCTGAGCCCTTTGTCAACTGTAATGAGAAACAGACCTCTGATTTGTTTTGAACAGATTCTCTTCCCCTAAAAGAAATTAATCTCATTTGAATCTTACACTATAAATCAGCAACTCCTGTAGAGCGCTAAATCTGTCTGACACACAAGGATCATCTTCTAGGTTTCATTTAAGGGTCATTTGCCTCATAAAATTTGTTTTTCCCTTTAAAAATGTAACTTAATATTGTCCAAATTATTCAGCAAACCACTAACTTTTTTTCATCACTTAATTCAGTTCTGTAGCTTTGGCAGAACTTAATTGCATGTGTGCAAGTACTTTATTACCATACTAGACTATTGAGCCCTGTTTTGTAATTGGCATGGTAAGTAAATTCATTTTCTAATCGTGTACAAATAGTTACAAATTGAACAGGTAAGTGTTGCTTTCAGAGGATGATGGGTGTGTTGCAGGTATTGTCTGTCTAAATGTTCCCAGTTCCAGAAGCACAAAACTTAAAATTCATGAATGGAGTAGATTGATTGATTTTTCCAACAGTGTTAGTTTTGGTCTGACTTGTGTTTTTGTCTTTTCCGTCTCCGTAACCGATCCCATCACCCCTTCTCGACCCCGCTACCGTCTCAAATATGAAGATGTGGAGGATGTCAAGTTTGTCATCAATTACGACTACCCCAACTCATCGGAGGACTACATCCACCGTATCGGCCGTACTGCCCGCAGCACCAACAAAGGCACTGCCTACACCTTCTTCACTCCGGGGAACATCCGTCAGGCCCGCGAGCTGATCCGGGTCCTGGAGGAGGCCCGGCAGGCCATCAATCCCAAACTACTGCAGCTTGTTGATAATGGACGTGGAGGAGGAGGCGGAGGAGGTGACTATTTGACTGCATTGTGAAAGATGGGATAACCAGCTAACGCCTGACCATGTTTGAGAGGTGTTAGTGCTTTATCCCATTAACAAATAGTTGTTAGTCTGATGAGCCAACACAGTCTGATGGCAATTCCTCCTCCTCTGTCCTTTATTTCCAGGTGGCCGTCCCCGTTTCCGCGGGAGCTCCAATTCCAACAATCCCAACCTGATGTACCAGGACGAGTGTGACAGGCGAATGCGTTCCGTGGGTGGGGGCAGCAGCACCAAGGACAGCCGCAGCAGCAGCAGCAGCTATGGCCGTGACAGCAGAGACAGCCGCGGAGGAAGCAGCCGGGACGGCGATCGCTCCACCTCATCTTCCTCCTCTTACAGAGATCGCAGCAGCAGGGACGGAGGACGCAGCTACGGCTCCGGCTCCGGCTCCAACTCATACGACCAGTACCAGAATAATAACGGCAGCAGCAGTCAGTACAGCAGCTCCAGGGCCAGCTCCGGGTCGGGGGGTGGCGGAGTGGGCCAGACCCCAACCACTTCATCGGCCCCCCAGCCTCTGATGGCTCAGCAGTTCAACCCTCCCCAGCCCATGATAGGCCTGATGGGGCACTCGCCATTCCAGTTTGCTTCTCCATCAGGCAGAAAGTAATGTCACACACAGCACGACACATACTGTACACCGTCTGAACATCAGTGAGAAATCTTGGTTCTGCAAGGGTTTAGTCCTTTTGGTAGTTGTAACATCAACTGGCCAGTTATCAGGTTGTTCTGGCTGCAACTAATCAGTGCACTGTGCTTTTAAAATTTCTTCTTTCTTTAAGATCAAGACATCAAAATATTTAGACTGATTCCCAGTTTGGTTAGTAAGTGGGCAACCCTTTTTGTTTTTGACTTCTTCTTTAAAGTCAAATGAATCAGCATTTATTATTTAGTTTGACAGAAACTTGTCTGTCATTTGACAGTTTGTCACTATTGTCTTGGGGGAAAAAAATCTTTTGTACCAATGTGCTGGTTTTGTATTGTGATCCTCTTGAGCTGCTACAGAGGATTTATAGTATCTGCTTTTCCCTTTAGGTGTGTCAAAGGTAGGTGCTGACATTAATTCTTGTGTAAATAAATATAATAGTGTGTTTCTGTTTTAGGTACAACGTCTTTTATTTTTGTGTTTGAAAGCCAAAAGGTAAATTTTAATTAAAAAAAATGTTGGCTGGTGTTTCTTGAGGAAAATTATGGTTAGAAATAGTTTTTCTATAAAAGATTTTTCTTTTTTAGAACATTTTCTTTAAAATGTATCTTAATTTCATTATAGATATTAGTTTAGGCCTTATAGACGCAACTCTGCAAGGGCTTTGTGTTGCTATGGCGGCAGTTAAAGTCACATGCATGTAAATGAACTTTTCTTTCACGTTCATGTTTATTGACACCACCATAGATTGCCGCAGTGATGATTGAGAATTTCCTTGCAAATAAAAGTCTCTTTTTACAGTTTGTTTAATAAAGCTCTTCAATGTATCACTGTGTACTGTTTAAATCATTACCACTAATACTGTGGAGGTGTATGGCAGCTTTAGGTATTGTGAGTTGTCATGTGGTTGAAGTAATCGGTTATCTGCAACACAAAAGAACGTGCCTTCAGGTCACCAAGAAAAAAAAAACTTTATTACCCATTAGAATATTTTACCAGTGTTATGCTCTTGCACATTGCACAAGTCAAATGTACATAACTGCCATCATTGGTATTTACAAAGCAGTCGTATTGGAGATTAATGCAGTGGAATGTGATTGAGAGCCTGTGGGGAGGAGGAAGTGTTTAGCATGGCTGACATGCATTGCAGACTGTAGAAACGAGTTGAACGTGTTTGAGACGGACACTGTGCTCAGAGCACCTGGGTGCATCTCCGTTTGCATGTGCTCAAGTTTCTAATGTTCAGTTCTACCAAATAAACGCGGAAATATTAACTTAAAACACCAGCTAAAGAAAAGATTATTCAAAATGGAACTTATACCCTACTGAAAATGCTTTGAATATATTAAGAGTTGGAGGTTATGATCTGTATCTCAAACTCAGACCTACTATGACTGATGTGTAACATGACAAAAACAAATCCATCCACTAAAATTTAAATGTTACAACGGCAAAATAGGCACGTATGGCAGATACATAACTGATGTTACAGTTAATTTTGTTCTTTATACAAGATGAGGGAAATATAGGAACATAGTACTATAAAAAAAAAAAATTCTGTGCAACTTAAAAAGTAGAGGAAGAGCCGTTGCAAAAGAAATGATATTCACTCCTCACAAACTAGACACCACATGAAGTTGATTAAGTATAGCTTTGTTTGCAAACTAAGATGAGCTGCATCTATGTAATGCCTGTCCTTTCTCTACTGGTGTGCTAGATTTTGCAAGCATTGTGTCTCATGTTGGCAGAGCATGCAGAGAAGGTAAACCGATAATGGATTTAAACTGACTTTGTGCCCTAGGTGAAAAAAAATGAAAAAAGTCAAGCACACCAAATGAGCAAAATATGCACACATTTGACTTAGTTTTCTTCCTTCGTAGCACTGTCTGTTAAAAACAAGATGACAAGACTGCAACAGCTTCGGGGAAGCAGTTGCAGGTTTGTTTTAAAGCAGCCACATACAGCAGACTAGACCTAAACACACATGACTCATTTAAAGCCAAGCATACACACGTTACACTGACTGAGCATGAGCATAATCCAAGGAAAACAATCAATACCAATCAAAGAAGTACAGTGTGATTACAAAAGGAAAACAGGCTTATGCAGAGTGCTGAGTTGGAGAGTTGATTTCGGAAGGAAGCCGAGTCTGAGAGCAGAGAGTCTGTCAGGTTGGAGTTAAATGCTATAGGTTCCCCCACGTGTCCGGAGGAGGAAACTGTTCTATACCGCCGCTCTCACTGTGCTCCTCCTCGCCCATGGTGAAGGTTAATGTGTACTGCAGCTGTACCTTCTCCTGAGCACAAACACACAGGGTGGGAAAGGGGGGTTGGTATTATATATATATATATATATATATATATATATATAGTTAACATCCAGAATGTCTTAGCTGAAGCCACAAGGACTACTCAGAGATTTTTTCGTAATTCTAAGCAGTATGTAATTTGATTTCTTCTGCTTGGTTTTGTCATTTTGGGTCAAATCTAGCTGTAGCTTGAAATACTGTCACAGCCTGCAAAGAAGACAGCCAGACAAAGTTTGGAGAGTGGTACATTTTTCTTTTCTTTCCATTTCTTGCTGTGGATGTCAGCCAAGTGTTGTTTAATACAGTGCTGCTATTAAAGCACTTGCGTAGCAGTGTTTAAAGAACATTTAAACAGACACTTGACAAAACCAAAGTGAGACTGTCCTGCTAGAGCCGTTTAAATCAAGAGGAGGTTCAGAGACAAAAGGTAATGTAATGGTTTCTTTTAAAGGTATTTCAGAAGCATTTCTTGCTGTGTTTGTTGAAATTCTCTTTACATCCTGACAAATCAATGAATCAAATGTTCTGGAAAAAAAAGAAGAAAATCAAGCATCTGTAGCAGTCACAGCCCAATCATATAATTCAGACTAAATTGAAATCTAGCCATCTCCTGCTGGTTTCTCCAGTGTTACCCGCCATAGAGATTTAAAGGGACCCCTGTCTAGATCTTGGCTTACCTTTTTTGGGTTTGCCAGCAGAAGGATCTGTGTGACAGCAGCAGGAGGAAGGATGGGGTTGAAAGCTGGGAGCTCGGTTCCTGATGGGGGCTGCAGCTTCACTGCCATAGACTACAGTTGGTAAACAAACAACAGAGATAGTAAATTAGCTGCAGTGGTTTTGTAACTGTCTTTAAAAGGTGAACCTTGCTGGGATGTACAGCCCTATTAGGGATCTAACGGAGGAACGAAGGCCTTGAACTTTCTTACTGCTGACCTTTGGAGCCGTGGTCTGGAAGTTGATGTTGGTGACGGGGACAGGAGCGGACGACAGCATGGAGATGATCACCACCAGCACATCAGGACGAGACGGAGGTGAGTCGCGGGCAAAGTGAAAGAGAACCCGCAGGCTGTGTCCGTCAAACACAGTCACAGGTAACAGACTACCTGGAAAGGGAAAGGACAGAATGATGGAGGGAGAAGAGGAGAGCATAGCATAAATCTGTACTCCCAGGAGGGCCAAAGCATAAAGCCATCAAGTTACAACAACTTACTGGGCTTAATGGATTCTAGCGGTACAAAAACATCTGTCAGGGTGACTTCTGCAGGAGGAGTCTCAGTGTGAGTCGGGGACATGTCCAGCAACGTCGCTCCAGGGCTCGGCTGAGAGTTGAGGAGAGGTGCAGGAGGTTCGGCAGAGAAGACCGGGATGGGGTTTGGGGCAACGTTGGACCCAGACTTGCTCTGGAGATCTCTAAGAGTTGGTTTGGACTGTTGTCTGTCCCTAAAAGCAGAAAATATAACAATTCATGTCTGTGCTTGTGCCCTTCTCACAGGATGCTCAATTCTTCCTTTACAGTGCAGATTGAAACTAGAATTGCACCGTTGTATGCCTCCGACAACCAGTCAAGTGGCAGGTTTACATCCATGTCTGTTGACACTCACATAATATATGTAGTGAAGACCTTGAAGGAATTAAAAAGGTATTAAGGGGCGCAGCGGCCCGGGTTTGAATCCGACCTGCGGCCCTTTGGCGCATGTCATCCCCCCTCTCTCTACCCACCTTTCCTGTCTGTCTTCAGCTGTCTCTGTCAAATAAAGGCATAAAGGCCAAAAAAATAAAAAAAAGTTATTAAGCATATTGTTTGGGGAAAATAGAAGTTATCACTATATTGATATATGTGATTCCACTGAATAACTTTCACTGTAACACACTTTGCTTAAGACTATTTTTACAGAAGCACAGAGGATTGATAGAAAGCTTTGTCACAGGATGCCATCTTCACAATCACAGCAGCACAGAAGATCAACAATCACCAAAGTTTTAGGGTGGGCACCTGAGATCCAATTCAGGATCAAATCTGAAATATGGTCACAGTCTGTTCCTGAGTTATGGTGTTCAATAATGTCCAGAAGATGACCTTTGACCTTTAGGATATGAAATGTCATCACTTTATCCTATTAGACATTTGTGTGATAATTAAGAGTATGAATTCTTGAGTTATGGCCAAAGACGTGTTTTATGAGGTCACAATGACCTGTGGATGTTTGTGCCAAATTTGAAGACATTTCCTAAAGAATAATTCTTGGAATATCGTATACACGAGAATGGGACCGATGTCGAGGCACAAAGAACTTGAGCAAAATGTTACTGTATGTGCTGTTAAAGCCAACCACGGGTTAACAAAAACAACAGCCAGAATGAAAACGTGAGGAGTAAAGGTAGAAAGCAGATATTGTTACTCTGATCAGTAAGGAGAGCAGTGGCTGTGTTCTAGGAGAGTCTAATGTTTGAATAAGACACAGAAATCCTTCACTCACTGCTACTGCACTACATACCCAAGTACACCAAGCAGACAAAGTATGATCTATCTATATAATTTGCTATCTTGAGGCCGTGTCTTAGAACAGTGTCTGTTAAATACCATTTGACCTGCAGGCCCTCAGGAGGCAGGGACTGCTGCAGCAGCGTCTTTCCCAGCAGGTCCAGCTCGTCGAGAGCAGAGTTCCCAGGGGTGGAGCCAGACGAAAGGGGCTGAGAGTGGGAGGGTGGGTCTGGACTCAGGAGGAGGCTGGGTGCTGCTGGGATGTCTGCGTCTATGCTGTCAGAGGACTGGAGGTAGACAGTGAGAGTGTGTGAGAAAAGTAGTGGTACAGATGTATTGGTATTAAGAACGCTAATGGCTGAGTGTCTCAGTGTCACATGACCATAATAGTTCTAATAATGCTCACCTGGAAGGAGTCCCAGGCTGTGGAGTCCTCAGGCTGCGAGGGAGGGTTGGAGGTGTGCGTTCCTTCACTTAAACCTGTGAGACACACAAAGAGTGGCTATATTTAGGAATAAAGTGAGTTTTCTTTATCTCAACTCATACAAAGCTTGCAAACAATCAGTATCCTGCATAAAACTTGTGGGGTATGAGGGGTCGGACATGCTGTTACCAAGTGACATGAGCTCGTCGTCGAGGAGACTGATTCCCATCTCTTGTGAGTGGGCGTTGAGGCTGTCTGTCGGAGTGGGAAACTCTGGGAAAGACGGAGGCGACTGTGGTGATGTGTCCAATCCTGACAGATCTAGCAGTGCCGTCCCTCCTCCTGTGGGAAATAGATTCAAGCCAGTTCAATTCAAACTGCCTCCAACAAAATTAAAGAAAAATAAGGAATTTAAACCTGAATTATTCTATTAAACACTCTTTGTGTATGTCTGCACTGAAAGCTTCACCCACCTGTTTGTTTCTGTGTGTTCAATGTGTTGTTGCCATTTACAATCTCCCCCTTCACCTGCTGTTTGTACAGGTTGATGACGTGAGTCAGGCTGTCGTTGGCCTGCAGGATCTCCGCTGTGGAAAGACATGAAGAAATGCTC